CCGCCCCCTCCCTTTCCCTTCTGCCTTTTATTCTTTTGTCTCTAAATGGATTTAATGAGCCTGAAAAACATGACAATTGAATATAACCAAGAAATAAAAAATAACGAGGGAGGAAGGAAGGAGGAAAAGAAAGAAGGGAGAAGGACGGGAAGGATTAATAAAAGACAAGAAGAACCGCTCCAAGTCCACGCATGTTTATTGTGCGTCTTCTCTGCACCAGGTCGCGCTGGGGGCTGGGGACGTGGAAAGGAAACGAATCCGTTGTGGTCCCTGCCCTCAAGGAGCTCCAAGTCTACTGGGCCAGACCCACCACACCCCACCTCGACTGGAGGCCCCTGCTGAAGGGCAGGGAAGCGCGCGGGCAGAACACGAGGGCTCGGGGCAGTAGGGGCTTCGCGGAAGAAGTGGCTTTGGATCCAGGCCTTGAAGGACAGGAGGAATTCGTCCTTTCTACAGGCCAGAGAGAAAGGCTGGCGGAAGGAAGGGATGGGCAGTGGTCCCAGGAAAGCGAGGCATTGGCCGGACCCAGGGCTGCCCTGATTGGGGAGACAACCCCTCCCCGCACAATTTAGGGAAAGAGCACGAGCCGGCACACGGCCTCTTCGGCTCTGCTGGATTCCAAGGCTTCACCGGGCAGGGAGAACGTGCGCGTGTGGTCTGCCAAGCACTGCCGCTCGGGTTCCTGGCACGGTCACGAAATGGAGATAGGAGAACGGCAGGCCAAGGGTTGAGGGACGGGACCTGAGGCAAGAGCCAGGGACTATGAGGATGAGAGATGGTGGGGGTCGGACTCTAGCCCACCCTCAGATTTGATAGCCAAGCTCAGCTGAGGACCGCCTGGGGCGGGATCTCAGGACCTTGAGTCCATCTAGGGTGCTGCCATAGGGATGTGGGTCCTAGAGGACCTGGACCCACAAGACAGGCCGTCCCTGGGTGTCAGCGCAGGGGGGCGTGGCGGCCTGTCTCAGGGTGCTGCCGGGTGTGCACTGCACGTGTGCGCTCCGTGTCTGCTTGCTCCTCGCGTCTGAACGTGCGTGTGAGTGGAGTGCGGTCCTAGGCAGCCCTGCGGGCCCCGCGGCCATTCTCAGGACGAGATTCATTAAGGCTAACGAAGGCCCTGGTCTGCCCACCCCGCTACCTTGGCCGGAAAGCCATCGCCTGGGGGCCATGGTCATCTGGAGTCATCTGGACTCCAGACCCCCTGCGGACCTATGGTCCGTTCCGGAGGTCCTTTGGAGGCAGCCCGGCTTTATCCCTTCCACCCTTCTGAGACCCAGCTTCGGACCAGGTCGCCAAGTCCCTACACGTGGGAGGCTGCAGCGTGCCAACAGGCCCGGGGCCAGCCGTGCCACCTAGACCCGGCTTACCCGGGCTCTGCCTTTCCAGGCCGCGAGGCCTGGTGGGCTACGCTGGGTGAGGCCGCGAGGCGCAGTTCCTTATTTTACGAGGTGTCGGGCCGGTGTCAGACGCGGCTCGGATAAGTAATACTCCAGTCTGAGGGACCAGAACGTGGTAATTAATCCCAAAGACTTAAGTGTATTTTAGTTCAGGAGAAAAAAAATCACTAATTCAATCGTCCGGAAAATTGAAGTTTGATGCATGAGTCCCCCCTGAAAGGGACGGGCTGGGGCCTCCGCCGCCCCTCCGCCCCTGCCCGTCGCCGCAGGGGGCCCCCTCCTCCCCGCTTCTGAGTCGCCCGGCCCAGTGAAATCCACCTACCCCTTTCTGCAGGGCCCAAAGCCACCAAAAGGGGATGGGGCACTGGGGCGTGCCCCCCTGCCACGCCCAACCATCAGCCCTTCCTCCTTGGGGCCCAGAAAGCGATTTATACCTGGAATACCTCTGCCCTCAACAAACACTCCCACTCTCCCCAAGGTACACCAGGAAGCTGGCGGGTTAGAGGAGGGGCTCTAGATCAGGGGGCAAAAGTGGGCAGTGACAGGGTTGTGAGGTGTGTGTGCAATGCTGGAGTGGAGGGTTGGCCAAGGTGGGGGTTGGAGGGTAAGCTGAGAGAGTGGGTGAGAAAGGACACAGGCCCGGAGGGAAGGCTCAGCAGAGACTCGCCCCCACCCTCAGAATGGGCAGTGGAGTCAGGTCTGCAAAGCAAGTTTCCCAACTGCTTGGTGAGGCTCCTGGGATTGG